TTTTTTCGTCGTTTCATATGCTTCGGATGTTGTGTTAGCAAAATTCCCAGACAATGCATTAATCACAACTTGAGGCGTTTTGTTGGTAATTGATTGCTTAATGTCTTTCGGAATTTCCTTGACTTTGCGGACTGATTGTTGTTCAATGATGCCTTTGTAGTAGTATGCTTCACCAGCAAATTCTGGGCATTTTGTGATTACCGAATCGAGAATTATGTTGGCTCGAGAATATTCTTGTTGATCAATGTAGACCAGTCCCAGAGCAATTAGAGGTTGCGGTGCATTTACCCATTTCAACGCAGTTTCAACAGGTTCGATTGGATGTTTTTTCAAGAAAGCTTCAACAGAAGCAACAATTTCGCCGCGTTTTGCTGCACTACGTTCTTGAGCACATTCCTTGATCGCAGTTGCTTGAGAATCCAGCCACAACGCCCATTCATCCAACAAAGCAAAGTAAATGATCTCTTCTTTCGTCGGCACATCGGTGCCACTTTTTTTCTCACTCGTTTTTCGCAGCGCTTTCAAGCAATGTTGTTTGAATGCGGCAAGACAGCTTTCTTCAATTTTGGTGTGGTAATTGTAGTAATCAGTCATGGATTGGAGCCGTTGTACTTCAGCGTTGTCTCGGAACACTTTCAGTTCGAATACTGATGGCGGCTTTCCCGTAGCATCGACTTTGTCCGTGATGGCTATGATCTGGCCAGAACCCGGATCTCCGCATCGTGCAGCTCGACCATATGCTTGATCTTCGATTCGCGAATTCTCGGGCAAAAAGGACACGATAACATGCAAACCGCCAACAAGTTTGAGTTCATCGCTCAACTTGATGTCTGTTCCTCGTCCTGCCAAATTTGTAGCCAAAATCAATCTACCTAAAACAGAAAATAAATAGTTTATTTTTATAAATCCTTATTGATATCCATACCTGGTTTTAGTTTGTTCTCTCCACTGAAATCGAATTCATCAAATTCCCGTTGATAAACTACCATGTTCTCATAGCAACTGTTTACGGCATTTGATGCATTTTCATCATTCAAATGACGTTCCTTCAATCCATTCTTGACTTGCATCACATCAGCAATTGATCGGCAAATAACCAGCACAGATCGCTTTGCAGTCACCTGGTCTACGATTTCTGCATAAATAGAATCAATCCAATCTTCAACTTTTTGTGTAATTACTGGAACGTGTTCATAAAGCTTTTTTGCTCGAAACGTCGGCAATCGGATCAAATCGGTGTTGTAGAGTTCGACCAAAGTTTTGCTTTCTTCAATTGATCCGAGAGTTCCACTGAGACCATTGATTCTGCTGTATTCTTTAAGGTAAAATACATTGGACACAAAGACGGCTTTGAGACTGATTGGGCTGACGCGACAGGCATGTTTGATCTGAATGCATTGGTGCAAGCCTTCGCTCCATTGCGAAGTGGCCAAGTCGACGCCGGTGTTTTGATCGATAATTGTTACTTTTGGTGTAATGTCAGTATCTTCACCAGTGTGATCTACATCAACAACGTACGCTTCGTTGTGATTCATAAACAATGCCCGTTTTGCGTTTTCAATGTACTCTCGAAGATGTCGGCGGCAGAATGGAATGAGGTAGCGAGGCATCGGAATTTCGCGTTGTCGGTTAACGACTACTCTGATTGCAGATAATATTTTTGTTGCATGTAGTTCAGTTGTCACTAATTTCAAAGCAGCGAGGAGACCTTGTTTATGCTTCAAAAAAATCTTCGTCCGTTTGTATTTTCAAATAACCACCAGAATCGATGATTTCCATATTCATTAATTTGTCCCAAACGTTTGCACAATTCTGCTTGGCAATAGAAGTTAGAGCCAGCAAATCCAAATCTTCCTTAGATATTCTACCTAACAAATCACTCAAAATATGTACTTCAATACTATCTGTCGAAAACGCTTCTTCTTTTCTTCGACTTGCTGTTGGGCTGCAGATGATTCTTTGAATGTGCACAAAGAGCGGTTCAAGCAATTCGAGTCCAGGCACGCTATGAGACAGATAAAGCATATTGTTGCCGTTATCTAGCAGCATATTGTCTACTTCATCCACAATTACACAGCTACTTTGTCGTTCACGGTCTCCTAGAATATTCTTCCGATAGAAATCGTGAAGCAAATGATCTCTTTGAAACCGACCGATTTCACCATAAACCACATTTGCTTTGTAGGCCTGTTTGCGATCTTCTAAACCTTCAGTGCAATTGTGCGCCACATTGAGATGCATGGCTTCATAGAGAGGTCGCATATCCTTGACATCACGTTGAGCAAGCACCGAAGACGATGTGATGATGTCGACTGATTTGAATTGTTGCGCTCGGATGATGGCAATCGATGCAACAATGTACGATTTTCCTTCTCCTGTATTCACTTGAGACAAGAAGTTCTTTCCGGATTCAACGGCATAAATGATAGCCATTTTTTGAGTTTCGCGAAGATTGACTCCAAAAATGTTTTTAATGGCAGCATCAATTTTCATCAAATGTTTCACCGAGCCGTTGCCTGACGGATTTTTGAGGAGCGCAGCCATCTTTTGAGAATTCTCCTGACGTTCTTTTCTCTCGTCCTCTGTGTCATGTACTCCTTTGATCAATTCCGTAATTGTCTCTAAAGTCCGAGGCTTTTCTGTGATTACAGTTTTGTATGCGCTTTCGCCCTTGATTTTCTCGATGATCTTTCGTTGTTCCAGTTCGTCACAGATAAATTCATGTTTGCCTGTTTTTGACAATTTACTGTGTTTTGTTGCCAGTTCGAGCAATCTGATCAAGGCAATAATATAATTGTCATCGAAGACGACTTCATTGTGCATGATTAAAGAACAAACTTGAGCAATGATTTGTTCCGGAATGTGAAATTCACGATCCTTGCTAGTGAGAATTTCCTCTAATTTCGCAGCTTCTCGGCGATCTTGTTGCTTAAGGTAGATGATGTAATACCCAATGTTTGCAAATTCCTTGATTTCATTGCTGAACGTAAAGTATTTCTGTTTTTCGGCCATAATAATCCAATCGGATAGATTCATCTTTTCGAGTTGTTTGTTGTTCGTTGAAGTGGCGCTAAGCATGACGAGAAGCTTTGTCAACGTTTTTTTCTTCAATATTTTGACCGTTCAATTTGGTTGCAAAAAGTATTTTCAGACGAGAAACAGAGATCAGATTGAGAAGTTTAGAAATTCCAAAAGCGTGTTTCAGTTGTCGTCGCCATTGACTTTCAATTCTTGCAATGAAGAAAGTATCGACGAGTTTGGTTTGAGGAACCGAGGAAGCCAGATTCAAAAGAAAATCGGGCGAAACGTGGTATTGAGACTGTATCAAAATGGCTGTTGAGATGAGAAATTGAAAATCAGCAATTCCCAGATGATTGCCATCAAGTTCAAATCTTTCATGAAGCATTTTGAGGACGTTATGATCGTTAGTCGAGGCAACGTAGCAATCGATCCATTCAAAAACAGAAGCAACAAAACCGGAAGGAAAATAGCTGGCAAAGTCGTTCTTGCTTGATGACGTTGTGTAATCCCACGGTCTGAAATTTAAGTGTTGTCTATAATCTTCAAAATATTTCGTCCATGAATGATTTGATCTTGCTGCAATCAACTGTCGAAGCTGGGAATCAGCTGCTAAATCATAGTATTGATTTCCATCGAAGGCAATTCTGACAAGTTTCTCTCCACTTGGATTCCATGATTCGAGCAATTCGACGTTGCCGTAATCTTCATTTCCATAAATTTCAATATTCTTTTTGTTCAATTCTGCTACAAGGTAACGGAAAGCCGAGCTGTGGAAGCCTTTTGCTCTCATGTATTCTTCGACTAAATTGGATTCTAGATTGATTTTAGCGTTTTCAATTCGAAGTACTAGTTTGTCTAATGTTAAGGTTTGGTAACTCTTAATCAATTTTATAACTGCAGGGCCTGCTTTTGTCGTTTCCGCATGATAAATTAAATTGACAATCATCAGAATTCTATTGAATTCCAGCAATCGTTTCATTTGATGATAGAATCGGATTAAAAAGTGTGTTGCTTCCAAGTTTTTTTCAACGCCGTTGTGAAACTTTGGAACTTTGCCAAATCTGCTTTCAAGTTCGTTGCTACCTCCGGATTGAACTTTACTTTTAGCTTTTTCAAGCATAGATTTATCAGCAATCAGCTTTGCGTATTCTTCAAAGTAATTGGTTAATTTAATTTTGAGTCCAGAAATGGCTTTCATAATAGTTTTAATTTCAGTTTTTTCTTCCGTTAAATTCGTTTTGAAAGCCTCCCAAGTCTCTTTGTCGGCCCAATTAATCTGATGTTGTCCGAAATTCTTCAGATGCTTTTCCATTTCCGTCTTCAAGTTGTTGCGTGTTTTCTGAATCTCTAATAACAACGCACCGTCGACTTCATTGAGCAAGTAGTCATTAAACAATTTTTTAGTAACAGCAACAACTTGCTTTTGATCAATGTTGACGTTCCAAAGTGCAGTAAGCGCCGGTTCAATGAACTTTACATTGTATATTTTGTCATCTTTTGGCGTCAATTTGGAATCAGTATTGAATTCAGCAGTTTGACAATAATCTGCATAATTTGAAACGTCATTGCGATGCTTTGTAATTAGACGTTTCAGCTGACGTTTTTGAGAAGCTTGTTTGTTGAGATTTTCCAGTTCAGTAAGAGTTAAACCGCCTTCTCTCTTGTTCTGTACTGCTCCAACTAACGTTTTCTTGAATGGATTTTCCATGACTTGTCGTATTCTGGAACATCGTAATAGCATTGGGATACTTGCGCGATTCAAGTCGGTATGACTAAGTTCAATTAAGAAATACGTGATCACTTCTTGTACGAGACCACACGCGCTTTCGTGACTTTTCTTTGCTAGTAAGCTGTTCAGGAATTCGGCAGGCATCATGTTAGACTTCTTCGCCCTTGTTCTTCGGATTTCTAGTGAATCTTCATTGACTTCTTTGACCACAACAACTTCCTGCTCTTGTTCCGTCGATTCTTCTTCTTCCAAGCTTTCCTCGATTTCAAAGTTAGCAGTCGCTGTAGATTTGACTGTGACCATGGCCGTAGCTAATGCTCCATCGAGTTGGGCTGTATGTTCAGCCGCTTTTTGCCACAATTTATTAAGCACAATAGATTTCTTCATTGTTGTTTGAGCTTCAGTAGATCGTTCTTGTTTCTGCTTTTGCTTCGTCTTTCTGACTCCTCCTTGGGGAATATCTTGAAATTCAAATTCACCGAAAATAGATGATTCGCCTTCAACGTGTTTTCGATAACCATTGATGCGGCGTTTGGTATCTGATTTGGCGTAATACTCCATTTTCAACCTTGTGGCAGATTTTTCTCCATAGAAAAATTTGTTTGTTCCACTTGCAGATCGATCGATGACTGCCATATGATTTCCATTACTGCCGGACTTTCCACATTCACCAACAGTTCCATCAGTTCCGTTACGACCTGGATTCTGGGTTATATTGACAGCAGTGAATTCAACACCAGTGTCGGGATTAATAACATTGCATTCGCCTTGATTGCCGCCCTCTCCACCGCAGCCATTGCGTCCACCTACACCTCCAGCAGTACCGTCAGTACCTTTGATCCAAACGAAAAGCTCATACCAGGAATATGTCCATCCAGCGTAGCTTGCAAGCGAATAGACCATTGTTCTTTTGTCTGAATCTATGTATTCGTAGTACAAATATTCTTTACTGTAATTGTAAGAGGATAAAGTGCGAGTCCAGTTCTCTGGTTCATAATTGCTAAAATGGCTCCAGTTTGTACGATACAAGCTGTCGTACTTGACACAAGCAGCTTTAAGCTCGTTCTCGGTCACTCCCTTTCCATTAGCACCATCACCACCGTCACCTCCGTTTTGCCCATTTTCGCCATTTCCTCCGTTGAGGAGAAGTTTGAGTTTTTGTGGATTTGAAATATCTTTTGTCATGATGGCAATGTTGCCGCTGGATTCTCCTGGATGTCCATCTTTACCATTTGTACCGTCACATCCAATTCCACCATCTTGAGCTTTCCAGTTTCGTGCTTCATGACCGCTGCCGGAAACATTAATGATCCGATCACCCCATACGTTGACTTTGTCGGTAACAACGCACAAATTTTTTCCCTGCCAATATTTACCTTCCAAATCAGCATCAATGTGAAACACGTCTCGAGCAAAAATATCCACTTGCAGAATTTTGTTTTTTTGCATCATGCTTTCAATTCTCTTTTTGATGGAACTCAAAAAAATTGTGCGACCGACAACATTGAGCGTGGTTTTATTTTCGTCTGTTTTAATTTCCGGTTCTTGTAGGTACAATTTTAAAACAACGATAAGTCCATCTTTTTCTTGAAAATCATCTGTTGGAATGCTTTTCAGAGCTTTGAAGAAACTCAATTGAATGACGTCTCCCCGCGAAGCCTCTGGCCATCTTATCATTTTGAGAGTGCACAATTTCACGCCTTCATTGAACCATTTACTCCATTCACGCCAAGTTTCAAGGCTCATTTCACCGGATTCAAACCATTGAAAAATTAAACTTTTTAAGGTTTCTTCAGGACCTAAAACAATTAGAACGGTTTTATTATTTATGACTTTTTAAAATCAAAACGTCGCTCACCTGATGGGACGAATCGACTCATAAGCAGATGAAAAAATCGCTGCAATTCAATGTTCCATTCTTCTGGTGACTCAACGCCATTATCACTCAACTGCTCGGTGATATCGTTAAAAAATTTACTTTTTACAGTCAAACCAACTTTTCCCTCGTTTATGAAAGTCGTTTTGCCTTGAGTAATCAATTGAACCATTTTGTGTTTAATGTTAGCTTTGACCACTTTGAGCAATTCTATTTTGAAATGGTGACGGATAAAAGCAATAACGGAAGGCTCAAGATTTTCGAAAGAACCAATAACATTGCCAATTCGTTTTTTATCAGAAACTGCTTGAATTGCGATCAAACGAAGTTCATCAGGAGAGTGAGTATGCACTGAAATATGAAGTATTTATAACAATAATAGATACATTTGATGGACAAAATAAATTTCTATAAAAAAAAACTTACTACATTTCTCTTTCGAATCATGAATTACAGAGTCAGGAGACATACTGTGTTACACTTGCGAAAACTTTTGCAGAAAAGATCTGAAATAAATGGAAATAAATAAAAATAAGATTTTAGCGGTAATTAAAAACCGTGTTCACAAATCAAAAAATTGAAAAAAAATATTGTGATTTATTTAACGCGGATAAATGATGTGTTAATTAGTGGTATACATATTAGAATCTAACTACATTATAAAGAGTTGAGTTGCTTGACAGCTAGCGTTCGTGATTAGGGGTGGGATGTGGGTGCGGGTGCAGATCCGGATGCGGGTGTAGATACAGGTGCAGGTGCAGGTGCTGGTGCAGGTACGGGTGCGGGTGCAGGTGCAGGTGCTGGTACGGGTGCAGGTGGATCATAATAGCGTCTGATATTCCCTTCTTTTGTTCCCCACTGATTCCAGCGTGGATTTGTAACTGATGGGAGCGGATCGTTAAGATACACTTCTGCGAGTGGCCATCGGGCAGCACCATTTGACATTATTGCATGTTTTACATGCTGCATTGAATGTTCATACGCTTCAAGCGAATTGTGGAATCTATAATTTTTTGAATGTTTTAAAATCATTATTTTTAAGCAGTTTACCCTCGATGATTTTTATTGCCTTCCATATTTTTCTCCACCAATGGTATGAGTGCATCGATATTTTGTTGAATTGTTCCCAATCTATTATTTGTTCCATTGATAACATCATTTAAGAATGTATTTTTGTCCACATTACTAATTCGACTTTCATGTTCCATAATGCCAATGTATGAAGCCAGATCTCTCACCGACGTGCACCCTCTTTCATTAGCCAGTTTCATAGCAGCATTAAACAGCGTTGGGTTGTATTTCATCTCTTGTTTTTTCGTTGCCGGATTTAGAACACCGACACCAAGCTTGTTGAGCTGTTGATGTAGTCGCTGTTTATCTGCTGTACTCATGCCTTCGAGTAATTTCTTGCCGTCAATTACATATGCATCCAATGTTACTCCTATATCGTTGCGAAATTGCCTTTCAAAGTTTCGAGCATCAGCTTCAAAGAAGAATCGGTATCCCATTTTTTTTGTTGCAAAATGTTGTATGCTATTGATGAATTTTTCATCTTCAACTTGACGCTGTGCATCCGTTGTCTGGTTTGTGTAAAGAACATTGAAATCGTTCATTTTTTGAAATAGGATTTCTCGATCTGTTTGATTTCCCTTTTGATATACTCCAGGATCAGCACCTTCTATTTTCTTTTTCAATCTTTCAGCAACATCTGCATTATTAACAGGATTATGAACTTGAGCCAAAGAAGCTCCGTCAATGTTGAGTTGACCGTTGACGAGCAAGATACCGTCTTTGATATCCAACGTCGTTTCCGTTAATGCGATTTCACTAAAAAAATAAGTAGATTTTACGTTTTTTTCATCATGAAATTTTTCACCTCAATAAAGCTAGATGACTTATTTAGGCATTGCTTACCAAAACATTTCACGGATGTCTGGTGCATATTGCATCATTCGAACAAGTTGCTTGTTCATCACATATTCATTTTCGGTGTTTTTGAAAGCTAACACAAAGTTGTCCTCATAGTATTTATAAGCTGCTTTTCCTGCTTCGTCGTTTTCATCTTTCTAAAATTTAACTTTATTTTTAAAGTTTGGTTATTTGACTTTTCAAACTTACGATCATCGTTTTTGCCAATTCATCACGTTCTTTAATGAGCTCGTCGTTTTCAGCTTTCTAAAGTTTATATTTATTTTTAAAAGTTTGGTTGTCTCAGTTTTCAAACTCACTTTCATCTTTTCTGCCAATTCATCACGTTTTTTAATGAGCTCTTCGTTAAGCGGCTCTTTTTGACCTCCATTATCAACATTGTTACCAGCATCTGCGTTATCATTTTTCCTATTGGCATCTGCATGTTGATCCTTGTAGGTGTCAGAATCCGTATTATGTTTGTCTTTTTCAGCAGACTGATTATTTTCCGTTTTCGTTTTAGTAGCTTTGTTCTGTTCGGCAACCTACAAATGCAGACCTTTATTTTTAAAAACGAATGAAACAAAAAAATACTACAGAAGCCATCCAAGGACGGCTGCTATTCAAAAGAAAGTGCATACCAATAACTCTTTCATATATTCTGCTTTTACTTGGTTGAAGATCGCTTGTGCTGATTTTGGAGATGTCAATGTACCGTAGCAACTGTACAAAGAGCTGGCCAATAAGAAATAATCCATAGCTGAGCATTCTGGTTTGTACATCATTACATACAAAGTTGTCAAAACACCGGCGACTGTGGAAGCACAACGAGACCATGCAAAAAGGTTGAACCAAAAAGTTTGTGCAGCAGTCAATTCTTGTTGTCCTGCGGCAATTTTTCCTTTCAAATATCGCTTTGTTAAATCATCTCCAAGAGAATTAAGGACCGATGCTACGATGACAGTGATTTCCGCAATCACATCCGTCCAATCACCGCCATGAGTCATTTTGTCGCCGATGCTAACGAGTGAACTGAAAATGACCAACTAAAATTGTGATACACATATATGTGCGGTAATAAAATCTTACAACGTGATTGTCGATGCTAAGTTGACATACCGATAATATTTATTTGCTAAAATTTGAATTTTTCTTAAAAAATGCATATGTAAAAAAAGAGAAAAAAACAAACTGTTTTGAATCATGGGGCTCAACTTGCTAATGCATTTCATGTTTTTTAATCCAGGAATAATGCCAACAACAGAAGCAACCGTCAATATTGGAGTTACTACCGCTAGCGCTTTCTGGGTCCAACGTACCCCAGTTCGAAGCACGCCACAGGCAGGCGATTCTTCTATATCAAGATCGGGCAAAACATCAGGGTTAAACGTTGGTTTATCTGTTTTCTGTTCTTGGCCATAATGTCCATCTTTGGGGTAACACATCAAAGCTGGATCGATCCAGTTCTCAGTTAAATAAGCAGCCCAGTCGTTGTATACTCTAGCGAACAAATCGATGTATTTGAATTTGCCATCAGAATTTTTGAAATAAAATACTGTAAAATTTAATCTATTAGCACTTGAAAAAAAGCAACATAAAACTCCTAACCTGGCACAGTAGTTTCAGCATTTTTCATTTTGTTTGTTTTTTCGTCTTTCACTTTGTCCTTCAACAGTGCCATAACAAATATTGCATTTAATTTAACAGTTGTCGATCGAGCATGTTTCTGCATTCTTTTCCTAATTTTTGCAGCTATTGAGCGATAAACGTGGTTGTACCAAAATTTCAAGCTTACAGTCAAGCAGCACTGCTTTACACCGTTCTAAAATTATTTTTTATCTTTCAGAAATTACTATATTAAAATACAATAAACTTACAGTGCCAAAAGCCGTTGTGAGAATATAAGTTTCAATTTGATCAATAGTTTCAGCTATGTTTTCTGTGCGACCAGCATTTTTTGCATACTCTTGGTTTTGAGCTTCGGTTGCTCGTGCGATCCAGTCATCAACATCCGTCCAGTTCGAGTCAGTGTTGTGGTAGGAAGGCTGGTTTTTGGGTGGCTCTGGAATGCGAGAATCCGTGCCTGTACTCATGACTAAAATAGTGATTTTTAAAATTAAAAAAATGGTATCAATTGAACTAATTTGCAAGGGTTGCGCGCGGTCATGTTGCCCTTTTCGCGTGAGACAGAGATTTTAAGTATTCGTGTGTTTTTTAGTTCAAAAAAATACGATTGAATAATGGTTGTCAAAGGATGAGCCGCGCAGAATACGGCGAATCCTGTGTGAATTAAAAAAATTGAAAGTTGTCGCGATTGATATTAATTTGTAGTATTGGTGCTATTATCGAAGTTTTAATATTTAGTTTAAAAAAAAAATAAACTTAGAAAAATAAGAAAAGCTTGTACTAGGGTGTGGGAGTGGAAGTGGGTATATGTGTGTGCGTATCGTGTCTGAGATACCGCAAGACACCGTGATCCAGCGCTCACACCCACACCCCACCCTTCTAGCTTCGTCAATTTCTAATATAGTCATCATAAACGCTCTTTAAGATGAACATACACGCTTACTATAACTTATCGTTGAGTGTGTTGAAAATTTATCGCTTGCTGCGTATCATTTTATTTGTTTTCTTCCTTGTTCTTTATTTCTGTCTCATCTATACACTATCGGGTGCTTACATTACTTTTCATTCTAATTATCTGTTTCATGAATTACTTTCATTTTTTTCTGATGTTTACGTTCTGCCCTATTACTTTTTCTTTTTCTCTGTTAGTGGGGAGGGGAAGTGTTATGGCATGATATATCGCATGCAATAAAGAATACTGATTCTCTTTCATTTCCTCACGTACTACTGATATCGTTGAGTTTAAGGAATGAATATTGTGAAGAGAAAGGATGATTATTGTTTTATGAAAGAAGAACAAAAAGGAACGATAACAAATTTAATTAAGATTTTAATCAATTTCCTGAATTTTATTCTATTGTGAGATTTTAGTTTGATTAACTACGAAAGAATCAGTTATACTTGATGATAATCCCGAAATCGAATTTTAACCAATTTTTTGATTTTTAATCGGTTATGAAGTTTTCATCCGGTATACTACAGAATAAACAATTACGATCGACTGGTAATCATGAAATTGTATTTGATCTAATTGAAATTTCGATCGATTTTGTGGATTTCACCCAATTTAGTAGCAAAAAATGAGTTTTTTTTAATCGATTATGAAAAATAATCAATTATAATCGGATTCTTTTGAAAAAAGATATTTTTTCTAGAAATAATTTGATTAAGTTGCTCATAATCTGAAATAATCGTGATTTTTTGGCCGAAATTTTTTCACCGGATCGAGACCCATCTACCCCGAAAGTTTCAAGAATTTTCGCTCGGTCGTTTCTTAGAAACACCTGGGAAGGCGGAGGTCCCCTTCAGTCGAATTAAAAAAAAATGGTTCACTGCTACTCACTGTTAGATGAAGTGATGTAATTATATTGACGTTGTATTAGTTGATTTGTTAATAGTTCTTTATGTTGGAAAAAAATAAACACTCAATGCACAACAGTATATTGTGTTGTGTTGTGTTGTGTTGTGTTCTGCTTTAAAAGCTACTCGATAAAATATATTTATCACATGATTCTTTCACTTGGTATTTGTTTTCTCTTTCTTTCGTATAATTTTTTCGAGGGATAATACCATATATTATGATATATTTTTTTTTCTCTTTCTTATACTTTCTTTTGCAATGATAAGCCAGTATATTTTGATGCATTTTTGTCTTTCTTTCATTTCGTTTTTGAAAAGATAAGCCAATATATTATGATGCGTCTTTTTCTTTCTTTCGTTTCGTTTTTTGCACAGAGAAGCCAATATATTATAATGTATTATTTTCTCTTTC